TACCCTCCTCCGGATCTTTGCTTATAATAATTATAGAACGCGGTTGCACACATGCATCCGTAGGACTCACTCAGACAACTAGCTTTATACTTACGTAATTTGGCTGTCCCCCCTCCGGGCAAAGTGTGTTTGGCCACTTTTAGGTCCTAGTCAAATTAAGGCTATGCAACCGAAAGATGGTACATACCCAGCAAGATATCCATACGGAGATCATCGCTAACTAGGAACGAGACTCTATATCACAGTTCCCCTACCGCGTACGGGGAACGACACTCAATGTCTTTCAGGTCGTCATTAACTACCATGTGCTGTTTGTTGGCACATGTCGACTCTACAGGTCGAGTAAGGCACTGCACTTGCCCCTGTAAGCGCAACCGTTCAACACAAGCGCGACTGGTGAAGTTCCTCGTTGAACATGTATCGTAGTGGGCCCCAGCCTTACGACCGCCTATATCTACTTCGTCGGCGAACAACTCACCCTTAGGAGCTTTAGCAAGTGCCGTCCAAGAAGCTAGTGGGTCTAATTTAGACCACTCCTCCTCTAGCTCGACTCAAACTTACCATTAGGGCACGGGTGCGCAGCCCGTAGTCTGTATATGCTTGATTGATAAAGGAGGCATTATTGGTGAGGTTTAGAAGTAGGGTGATTGTTGCATGAAAGAAAAAGGAGTATTTGCCTATATGTGTCAAAATTAGTGTGTGTGTTTGTGTGACACTTAGGGTGTTTGTGTTTATTACATCTGTTAGTCTTGGAATGTGTGGGATTTAGGTAATTTGTATGGTATTAATGTATTCAATATTTGACATACCTTGATTCATAGTTGGTGTCGAGGTTGGTGGTCCTTGAATCTTGGTCCATATGTCGTATATGTGTGCTTGAGTGTTTGCTGTTGCAAGTTTTTTTTTTTTTTAATTAGATATTAAACAAAAGTTGTTTGTCACATGTGACTCGCTCAGTCGGGCGCTGAACGTGTGGGGCGAATACGTCCACGTTCAGACACATCTGTTTGCACTTGCAAATGCAATGCAGGTGTGTTGTTTCAACCTGCGGCGAAGGCCGCAACCTTTCCGATTTAGACTTTTCCACTTTTCCACTTTTCCACCCTGCCACTGCTTTGCCACCGTTTCGACCAAAACCCAGCGCGTGGTCCCACGGGCAGTTACCAGTCCCGCATTTTTCAAAGAAATTGCCACCACCCCCCAAAGTGTCATGCCTGCACCTGCCTGCATTTTTCGAACCTTCCAACGACCAAACGAGCCCGAATCAACGACCGGTATAACGAAGGACGACGAAAATGTCTCGAGGGGAAATGTCTAAGTGGGGGAAAACGCACTCCGGACGGGCTGCAAGCTTTTCCACTCCTCCACCCTGCTGCTGCTTTGCCACCGTTTCGACCATGCCCAAAACCCAGCGCACGGTCCCACGGGCAGCTACCAGTCCCGCATTTTTCAAAGAAATTGCCACCACCCCCCAAAGATCCACCTTGCCACTACTTTGCCATCGTTTCGACCAAAACCCAGCGCGCGGTCCCACGGGCAGCTACCTTCCCGCATTTTTCAAAGAAACTGTCACCAGCCCCCAAAGTGTCGTGCCTGCACCTGCCTGCATTTTTCAAACCTTCCAATGACAAAATGAGCCCGAATCAACGGCTGGTATAACGAAGGGCGCCGAAAATGTCTCGGGGGAAAAATGCCTCGGGGGGGGGAAACACACCCCCTGACGGGCTGCAAACTTTTCCACTTTTCCACCTGCCGTTGCTTTGCCACCGTTTCGACCAAAACCCAGCGCGCCGTCCCACGGGCAGCTACCAGTCCCGCTTTTTTCAAAGAAACTGCCAACCCCCCCCCAAAGATCCACCCTGCCATTACTTAGCCACAGTTTCGACCAAAACCCAGCACGCGGTCCCACAGACAGCTACCGGTCCCCCATTTTTAAAAGAAATTGCCACCACCCCCCAAACTGTCGTGCCTGCACCTGCCTGCATTTTTCGAACCTTCTAACGACCAACCGAGCCCCAATCAACGACCGGTATAACGAAGGATGACGGAAATGTCTCCGGGGGAAATGTCTCAGGGGGGGAAAACGCACCCCTGACGGGCTGCGAACATATTCGTCGAACAGAGGATCGATTGGTCCGAAAATGCTTACGGGACGATGACAGAGTCAATAGCTTGGGCCATCTCTCGAGATGGTGAGGGTGTTTCCACCACCTCGACCCCAGCAGGAACAACTTTAATTCCTATTGGCCCGACGTGTTTCCCGAAACAGTGCCAAAACTGCTGGCGACATTGCTACCCTGGGAAGCGGAGGAGACTGGTGCCTGCCCCATCGTAGGCGGGATCTTTTCTATCACTTTACGATTTCGGCACTCGAATTGGTTATGGCCATACTGGCCACAACGGATACAAGCTGCACGGGAGTAACGATCTCTCCACACGTCCGCCGTAAGCCCCGCTTTCTCCCATGGAGGGGCATTGGGTTCTACCAGTGTCGACCGGTAGAAGTGATCTGGCGGCACGCCGAGCAGACCCTATACCTCGCGCCGTGTCTGTCACCCACGGGAGGGTCGATCGTGGCTGCTGTAACCTGCAAACGATCCTCGTCAGTGTCAGACCCAGGCATCCAAACACACGTCATCAACGAAACTGGATTGACGAGCAGTAGGCATGAAACTCGCATTCCTTAGGAAACTGGTTTATGGCATCAAACTGTATTCTAGTGTGTGCTGAAATGGAATATTTGTAGCCTCGGTTTGTGTTGCTTCTGTCCTAGTAGAGCCTCTCGACGGTCGTCGTGACTCGCTTGTTCCCGTGAGTTTGTCTGTTACTAACTAGAGTCTGTAGGATACTGGCTCTTGAGCTCCCATGAGTCTGCTTTATGGCAGAATTCTGTGTTATCCTGAATCAGTTGTTTGCCACAGAATCAACCCGGAGTCCGCTGTTGGGTACGAAGGCAAACTTGAGCTTGCCGTTGGCTGAGTCCAGAGTCTACTCAGTTTGAGATTCTAGGAAGTGGAGGCAAAGCTTTCTGCTCTCCGAGCCGGCGGGGCTAGTCTGCAGGCCCTGCGACTGAATGGTAGTTGATGGTCGACCGTAAGCTCTAAACTGCTGTCTGAATCAACACACGAACTTGCTATATCTGAAAACCGTGATCTAAAAGGTGAGAGTCCCTCGGGTCTGTGCACTGGCGTTGTGACTGCAAGTCAGCTTGTGAGCTTAATCTGCAGCTGCATATCTCGAGTTTACATCTGAGAAATCGGTTGTGTGATCAGGCGCTCAGATTTCTGAGTCTTCTGCCGTTTGATCAACCACGGTATGCCCGGAGCCCACAACTTAGGCAATCAGTCGCTGAGCACTCTGGGCAGAATCTCGTTGTTTCAGAGTCCACGAACTGTTGTTGCCAGTTTCGATTCTCGTATCTTAGGGTTCCCCAAGGTCTGGGTTTGTGACCTCACCGGATCTTCTTACCAGGACTGTTTGCTGAGCCCACGGGACTCTCCAGGCTCCTGTACAGTCAAATTTATCCCAGTAAAGTTTTGACCAGCAGAACCTGAGCTGGATGTTGTACTGCACTCCTGCTCAATCTCTGGGAAAAGTTAGCAAACTGTTGCTCCTCTGGATGCCTGTTTCGTAGTTTCACTGCAGCTAGTACTTCCGCTGCTAATCAAAATTTTGGAGTGTTTCCTGTGCTTCAGCCTGAGTCGGCATTCGCATCTGGCCGTATCGCCGCCCAGCTCGAGTTGCCAACTAACTTTTCGTGTTCTTGGCAACTGTTTGAATCCAGCTCACAAGTTGGTCGGATTTGTATGTTCTTGTTTCAAATATCCAGATGTACCTCCGTGCCAGGGCTTTGCTCCCATCAGTTCCCTCTCAGTGTGGAAAAGGCAGCCCTTCTCCCCCCTTCTTTTTTTTTTTTTTTTGACGGAGCTGTGTGAATTTGCCTGTTCCCAAGCATCAGATTTACTCACGGCCATTTATCGTCTCTGCGGGATCACCCCCGCAGCAGAATCTGACGTGACTCCAAGATCACAGGAAAGTGGGATCCCTACTAGATGTGGTGGCGAGAATGCATATGCGGTTAGATCTTGGGAAGATACACCACCACATCACTTACTTCCCACTTCCCAGCGGCGACGGACTTAGCTTTCAATGAGGTGCGCGGAGACTATCTCCAGATGGATCCTGAGATGACAAAAGCCATATCTTTGTCCCCTGCACGCCGTGAGGTCACCTATCTTCTAACCAAACAAGGAAAAAGAGAATGAATCATTCAGCAGATAATGGAAAGGTACATTGTCGTACCCGGGCTTGATTGAATTTCTTCACTTTGACATTCAGAGCTGAAAGGAAATCACTTTGTGTCGACATCCATTGGGACCATCGGAATGCTCTGTTGGGTCCGCTTGCGCACGCACGTGCGCAACTGATTAGATGACGAGGCATTTGGCTAATCTCATGAAAGCCGTAGTTACTCCCACCGTTTCCCGCTACATGCTGCGCATCCTTTCGCTCCTGAAGTACTGAAACCGTCCACTGATCTCCAAATTTGACCCCATCATCAGATTCGCCCTGCTCAAGAACCCCAATTTTGACTCCTCCCTTGCCTGTTTTCGTTAAGAAACGGGTGTGGCGCTCTCTTTCCATTGCCCCATAGCTTTCGAATGTACCTGACGCGGATCTGCGCCATTCACCCCTGCCCATTTCGCCCTGGAAGGCCACCAAAACGTGGTCCTCAGGCGTGACTCCCTGTAAGTACAGATAGGAGTGCACGTTGGCCTCCCAGTTATCGAAATTTCCCCCCTTCTTTCCACTGAAGGGTTCGGGGAAAGGGACCTTGACTTTCTCATGGCGTGGTGGGGACGGCTCCTCTTCCTTAGGAGTCGCTAACTTGGCGCCTTCAATGACGCCAGTGCAGAATTCTTTCGACTTACTAATTGTCAGTTGGACCTGGTCCACCAGGTACTCCATCATATCACGCGCAAAATCTTTAAACCCAGCACGTATTGCATCTATCTTTACTTCTAAGTTGCGGATGTCCTGCGTCTGCTCACGATGTGCAATTAGTAGAGACTCCACACTCTGGGTCAGGGTATCAAGTTTAGTGGCTATCTCAGTCTCTCCCTGATCTTCCCCATCCTGGTCTCCGCCGCTTTCAGGTCCCTTTCAGCTCGCTCTGCCGCCTCCAAACGCCTAACTTTCTCTTGGGACATACGCCACTTCCATGCCCTTTGCTGTTCCCCCTCTTTCGCCTTTCTCCTCGCCGGGTCCCTTTCTGCTCCCAACTCCCTTCTCGCCGGCTCTCTCTCTGCTTGGGGTATGGCCACTTCTGCCTCCCTATCTTCCCCCAGCTCCAAGTGTGCGGTCCACTCTTGTGTCAACTTCTCAATCTGCTCCTCCTTACTCGTACTAGCTTCACCTCTTCTTCTTTCCAATGGCTCCTCTTCTTCTTCTTTCTCCACCTTCACTTGTATAGCCGCCATTTTCTCCTTCTGCTCCTGCGTCCACTCCCTCATTTCCTCCTCCACCTGCCTCTTCTTCGCCTCTCGCTCCTCCAGCAAGGCCAGTATCTTGGCCTCCAACCTTTCCTTCTTCTCTCACAGAATGGCGGCAGCTTTCTCCTCCTGCTCCTTGCTGTAGGGGGTGGTGCTAGTTCCTGACCTCAGGGTCACCATGGTGATAGTGCACAATCAGCAACGATTCCGCGCCTCAACACGCAGACCAAACAGGTTAACTTCTATCGAGGGGTCTTGACTCACTACTCGTGCTATGCTCAAGGTTCGATGACGACAATCACAGAGTCCGACTGACCTGGACAGATCTGACAGGGAGATATGACTGACTGACTTTGATAGACTTGACGTCAGCAAGTACCAAGGCGAAGGTGCACATCCACGAGGTAAGGGATAGGCCAGGGCATGGTGAGATAGTACCGGTAATCTTGTCGCTCCAGCTGGGTTGACGCTCCAATCAACCGTCTTGGTCAACTCGCCGCTCAACGCTCCTGGTCAACGTCGTGGTCAACTTCGATCAACGCCTGTTCAACGTTTTTGGTCAACACCCGATCAATGTTGGTCAACTTGTGGTCAACGTTGGTCAACTCCCCTGGTCAACCTTCCAACCTTCCGACTAGGGTGGACCTTCTTCTTCTTTGTCAAAACCTTCGTCTTCTTCACCTTGGGTATGGCTGACTTCGTGTCGCTCTTGATCACTTTCTTCTTCCTTCTCTCCACGTCTATCTCTTTCTTCTTACTGATTGTCTTCTTTCCCGAGCTTGGAAGCTATGGCTGTCGTCCCCCCTTCTCTCTTCCTCTCTCTCTCTCTCTCTCTCTCTCTCTCTCTCTCTCTCTCTCTCTCTCTCTCTCTCTCTCTCTCTCTCTCTCTCTCTCTCTCT